TTCCCCGAAATATTCTGGGGAGTTCTGATAGGGAAGAAACAGCATTAGCAGGTGTCACAATGACTTCCTTTACAATAAGCATCCGAGGTCACAGCACTAAGTCCTGTAGGGTAGGGGAACACACTCAGAGGCACGCTGAGATATAAGCCAGATCTTTGCCGAGAGCAACCGAGATGAGAGAAAAAGAGAAAGCAGTGTCAATTTGCTGGAAACCTGGGCAGGGTGAGAGGAGCAAGCCCAGGGCTGGAGAGGCTGGGCTGCGGAGTGCACTTCCGGGAGAAAGTCAGTTTTTCCCACTGGAAGCACCCTGAGTAGGGGGAGTTGTTTGCTGAATTACACAAATCCAATGGTCTTCACTATCACCTTTTCTCAAGAACGTGTGCCTGGAGTGTGGGCATGGGGCAGTGAGTGGGCTGTTCCCTGGGGAGGACACACAAGGACACACAAGCCGCACAAGGACCATGGCCTTTGGGCTGGATGCCAAGGTCATGTGCTTCTACTGGTGTGCTGTGAAAGTCTAATTTTATGGGCCCAGCGCAGTGGTGAGTGGTTAAGGTCCTTGCCTTGCACGCCCGGGATCCCATATGAGCGCTGGTTCTAATCCTGGTAGCCCCGCTTCCCATCCAGCTCCCCACTTGTGTCCTGGGAAAGCAGTCGAGGACGGCCCAAAACCCTGGGACCCTGCACCCGCGTGGGAGACCGGAAGAAGTTCCTGGTTCCCGGCTTCGGATCGGCTCAGCACCAGCTGTTGCGGCTCACTTGGGGAGTGAATCATCGGACGGAAGATCTTCCTCTCTGTGTCTCCTCTCTGTATATCCGCCTTTCCAATAAAAATAAAATAAGTCTTAAAAAAAAAAGTCTAATTTTATGAAGGGCTGGTGGTAGCGGATGGAAGGAGCGTCTACTTTTTTCTCATATCTTCCTTGACAGACATACATGTTGGCTCACCGCACTTACTGAAATGGCCCTTGTTTCCAAAAATTCTTCATTTCTCAAACCCCAAATTTGATCCCGGAGGAAAACTGAGATGGTTATTCAGAGGCAAGGGGTTATTGATCCAACATGACTGACTTCCAGGTGTGTTGACTTGGAGAGTTTACCCCAGCTGGAAAAGTCACCAGACGACTAACCTAGGAGAGTGAGGTCTGGGGTGGTGGGCCAGCAGGGCTGCCCGGGTCAGGGGAAGAGAGCTGGGAAGATGGGTTTTCACTCTTTATAGGGTTGGAGGGTGAGGCCTGGCCTGAGGTCCCAGGAAACCACTCAGAGGGCAGTTTGGATCCGGGGTTCTCTTAAGTTTGTAATCACAGAACTAAACGCTATTTAAAGATCTCAGCTATGATCTTGCCTGTCACTGCAAGGTTGTGAGGGTGCCTCAGTTTACCTCTCTGGGCCTCACTTTCTGTGTCTGCCGTGCACTTGAAAAGGACAGCATTTCAGTAATGCTTATCTGTGCCAGGCAACAATAATGGTGTGAGAAGAGATGTCATTATTTTTCCCACTTAGGTGATTTGCCCAAAGCTCCCACTAGGGGTTAGTGCTGTAACCGGGACCTGAATACCTACCAGACTCACATCATGCAACTTTCACTTGTTTGCTTAAGATTTGTTTATTTATTTGGAAGGTAAAGCACTCCCATCTGTATATTTACTCTTCTAGGCAGTGGCAATAGCTAGAACTTGGCCAGGTCAAATCCAGGACCCTGGACCTCCATCCAGGTCTTCTAATAAGGAGGGCAGAGGCCCAAACACCTGTGCCATGGTACACTCTCCCAAGCAGCATTAGCAAAGAGCTGGATTGGAAGCTGAGTAGCTGGAGCCAGTAGGCCAGGTGGCAATTTACCCTGATATGCCCCTCATCATGTCCCTTTATTTATTTGAAACATATTTTTTGAAAGGCAGAATTCTCCCCCCGCCCACACAGACATACACAGAATCTTGTATCCGTTAGTTCACTCCCCAAATGGACCTTCAGGCCAGGGCTGAGCCGGGCCAAAGCCAGGATCCTGGAACTTCATCCTGGAGTCCCACCCAGGTGATCATCTGTACTGCATGCCAGCAGGGAGCTGGATCAGAAATGAAACAGCCAGAACTCAAACCAGCTCTCTGCTATGGGATGCTAGGGTCACAAGTAATGGGTGGATGAGCCTACCATGCCACCATGTTGGCTTAATGCCTTTTTAAAAGATTTACTTTCACACATTCTATCTTACATTAACCTATACATTCTATCAACCTGGGGATGCAAGAATGAGTTGCCATTCCTTTTTCTTCAGCAAAATGCCCGTTAAGACAGTGAGCAGCACTGAGTATCCCTCAAGGCCAGGTTTTGGTCAAGAGACGCTGAAAAAGGATGCTGAGTCACAATTCTACATCATCTTCCAATCAAGTCTGGGTGATTTATATTATTAGGAGCTGTCCTAGAAATCCCAACCACTGGCTTTTCTGATACTCCTTGCCTTCCTCTAAAACAGTCTTAGAGAAGGAGTGATGGCGAGTGAGTGCGTGGGGACAGCCTGCCCTTGACATAGCCCCACTGACACCTCCTGTGATGTCCTGGGGTGTCCCAGCACCCCCTGAGCATCCCCATGCTCCCTCTTCTGAATCTCAGTCCTTTTGGTTCTCAGGGGTCACAACCAGCTGTGGGGTGAAACCCAGCTTTGCACTAAGTACCATGAGAGTGACCCACAAACTCAACTTCAGGACTTGTAAAGCACAGCAGCAAATGAGAAATGTCAAAGCACTTTTCTAGCAAATTTCAAGTTCATTAGTAGGCAGTTTCCTTAGCACACACAAGGGAGGATTTACACAAGCCTCAGTGGTCATTTTAGAGTAGGTTTGTACCCTGTTGGTGACGTTTGTAGGACACGCGGGCTTTCAATGAAATGAACACGTGACACTAAAGTATGTTCACAGCATAGCATGTGAGGCTTCCATTCACAGTGCAATGGTAGGCATCCAGCTGCGGTGGTCAGCATTCCCATCTCCGTAGGCGCCTCTCTTCTTGGGGGTGCAAATGTCTGGACTCCTGTCTTACAGTTCTTCATAATTTTGCAAAAAGTCACTATACACTGAGGTCCCCACTGTGCTGTGGCACACCAGAGCTCAGCCATCTTGTCTACCTGGACTTTGAGACCTCTTACTCAACTCCTTCTCTCCCTCATCCTAGCCCCTGGTGGCCCCTATTCCACTCTCTACTTGGAAATCACCTGCTCTTGAGCTGGCTGCATGCACCTGATGCTGGGGCGCCGAGGGTGGCACAACTGGTCCTTGGAGGTTGGTTGCCAGAGGAGATGAGCATCAGTAGTCGTCTCCCTGCCCGCCCTGACCTCTGCCCTTGGTTGAGCACTCCACCCCTGCACTGACTTCCCAGGCAGCATCTGAAAGCCTGTGCCTGCAGCCAGCCTGGCCTGACCTCCTGCCCTCTGTCTTGCCTCTGCTGTGCCGTGTGTGTATTGCGAAGGCTTTGCATATAGCACTGTGCTCTGGAACTGCTGGTGCCTTGGCATGCCCACGGCATGTCCCACCCAGAAACTGGGCTACTGCTGGGGATGCAGGAGGTACAGCAGTCAAGGGAAGAACCCTCCTGCAGGGATGGACCTGCAGGGATGGCTTAGCTGCCAGGGTGCCCTGAGGTCCTCGTGAGAGGTCAGGCAGATGCTGCTGCCTCCTCTTGGGCTTTGCCTGCTCCCCTCTCCCTCCTAAAGACAGAGGCTTGGCATTCTGTTACAGCGGCAGCCATTGGGTGGAGCCAGCAGCTTCTCCTTGGAGCTCTTGGCTCCTTTGATAACTTGCTCACCCCCTCACACACACCTTCAGCCTCTTCTCCAACTCACAGCCTCCCGCACATGCAATCTCACACCACACCACAGTGAATGGCATCCAGATCCGCCAGGGCTGTCCTGAGCCCCTGCCTCCCACCCCTTGTCCTGCCCACCCCTGCTCTTGACCTTGGAATCCCAGCATCCCCCTCCAGCTGCCTGGCCTGAGGTGTCCCGTGGAACCTCCAGCAGACGAACACGGTAACTGCTCATTGCACTGGAAGGGAACCCACACTCCTCTCTGTGGCCCTCTGCCCTCTGAGGGTCTCCTCTTGTTGCTCTCCTCCTCGCCATTGGGCTTCTCTCAGATCGGCCTGGCAACACTGGACACGCCAAACCCTTCAATGATGAACTCACCAGAAAAGGCTCAGCCAACCACACAAAGACTCGACCTGTGTTCACCACCCAGCTCCCTGGCTTGTCTGAAACGTCCCCCATTCCCATGTTAAATGCTGGCATTTAATGCTGCTCAAGCGTGGGTTTTTAAGAGTTTGTAGAAATACATAAAGTGACTCATGTCTTGCTGTCGGAAGAATTACAGAAAAACCAACCACAAAAAGTTTTTGTTAGCTAAACATTCAACACATCTACAACTTCTTGAGTATTCAATATTTTTTTGGGGGGGGGGATAATTCTTTTCTAATAGCAAGAAAATAGGCCTAAAAATAGCAGAAAGAAAACAGGAAAGTGTCAAACCTAGCACTAGCATCCTTATTTCTTTTCATTATACTTCTAAATAAATTATTTACTTATATTCATTATCATCTATCTTCAAGATTCTAGTTACCCCTCACAAGTCTAGGACAACCACATAACTTTAGTTAGGAACCCTGGCTCTGAAGGGAAATACTGTTATTTACTTTAAAATGTAACATGGGGATATCTGATCACAAATTTAACTTAGTTAAATTCCAACTTAGTTGGAAAGCAGCGAATGGTCAGAAAACAACTATCAGGCCAAATGGAATGAAACCATTTGTAGCTCATCCCCAAAGCACTGACTCCTATCAGGTTGCCAGTCTTCCATCTACTAAGAGTGCCTCTTGTAAAACTTCGATTCGTAGAGCTAAGGGTGAATTTCTTGTTCCTTGCATTCAGGCGACTTCTGGAACACTGGCTGGGCAGCAGAACTGCCATGAACCTAATCAGAGCAGGACAGCAAGACGTGCGGGAACTGACTTACTATTGTGCGCAGTCGATCAGCTGGTACTCGTTGGACCTCTCAAAGCACGCCTTCACGCCCTCATCGTCCCAGAGTTTCTTCACGTGATCGAAGAACTCCTAAGGTTTGAAAGAGTTACAGATGAGAACATACAAGTGCGACAATCCATTACAAAGCTAAAAGCAAAACGTCTGAAAAAAATATTTTGTAATACACATGACTTTCCACGTGGAAATCCACACACAACAAGGCCTGCACGCCCTGCCTTCCGGGCGATGACAATGGATGCATACGTGCTATGATCACTTAAAACCAATTGCAAAGCATTGCTGCCATTCTAGAAAGTTGCCCAAAAGGGAGATTACAAGTCAAAAGTCAATGTCACCCATTAACTAGAGAGACAAGAAACAGCACACTTTGGAAGTTCCTGGTATGCAGTTATTAACTGGCACCCTGGCAAGGAGACAGCCCACTTGTTACCGTGTCAGATTCAGTCATAACTGCTGTCTTCTACGTTTGTGATGAGGAGCCATGATTAAGTACAAACACAATTTAAAAAAAGAAAAGATGGATTAATTTGACCCAGATGTGCATCAGCTATGTGAAAACAGAATGTTTAAGATAATGTGTTTTGGAAATAATCATTTCTTTGGTGGCAAGTTTAAGAGATGAGAGTGAATGTGTGTGTGAACTGTCATGTTTGTTCCCGCAAGTCACAAGGTTGCTATGCTTGATCTCAGCCGTTGTGGCAAGCAGGTGCCCTGAAAGAAGAACTTTCCTATTGCAAATAAAAGGCGAGCCTAAGAATCCATATGCATAAATCTATCCAAACTGAATTAACAACGGCAGGGAAGCCAATGCCTACGTGAGTTAAGAAGCTGTGTAAAGGTTCACCAGACACCTTGTTGGAAATTGCACACCTGCCTCACCCATCATCTACCCCAGTGGCCTGCAGGCAGGGACTGGACGTCACGTGGTCAGTGGGCAGCTGTACTGCTGCCTCATTCAGCCACATTTCCTAAGAATCAGCAAAGATTCCCGAGTTTTAAAAAAAGCGTGGTGGAAGAGGAGCTGGCCCTCTTTTAGAGAGATTCATGATTTCAAGTCCGGTGAAGTTTGATCTTACACTCAGGGAGAAACTTTTTGAAAACAAAATAAAAATTAAGATAAAACTTGCCACCCAAACTCTTGGAAAGGGAAGTGCCCCGAGCTTGAGTGTTACTAGCTGTGTTACTAGCTTGTGGTAATCACGGGGCCAATCTGTTGAGGTCTGCTGTGTGTCTCTGCATCCATGTGCCACCCTCTTCCTCTTCAAACCCAGCTGGGGCAGGTGCAGTGATGCAGAGTTAAGCTGCCACGTGGAACGCCTGCATCCCATCCAGGAGCATCAGTTCCAGTCCAGCTGCTCCACTTTGATCCCATTCCCTGCTACTGTGCCTGGGCAGCAGCAGAAGATGGCTCAAGAACGCAGGCCCCTGCCATGCTCAGGGGAGACTCAGATACAGTTCCTGGCTTTGGTCTGGCCTGGGCCCTGCCTGTTGTAGGGGGACCGGGAGAAAGTGAACCAATGGATGAAGGATGGAAGATAATCTCTCTCTCTCTTTTGTTTATTATCCAAATAAAGACTAAATACACAATTCAAACCGCCACAGTTGACAACAGAAGGCCCATCCCCACCCAAAGGAGAATGGCCACACCCCTCAGATGTTATTCTGTCTCCCTAGATTTTCATTTCCTCTGGAAACTTTCCCAAGAATTCATATATATCCTTGGTTTTTCTTCTACATGCCTCTGAAGACACATACCCCATTACACTGTTATTGTGAGGGATGTTGGAAGAGAAACAGGCATCTGCCTATGGCCCGCTTTGGGCTATCTGAATTCTCTATGATGAATGTATACGGTATAAATTTCACCACATTTACTCAAATATGAGCATCACTCCCACCACCATGGTATGAAACACCATGTAAGAATTATCACCTATAACAGGGATCCAAGTGGCAATGTTCAAAAAGATCAACATAAAATTGATCAATAAAAATAAGATAAAAACTGAACCTTTGTTTCTGGTTTGTAAAAATTAGGAGAGTGGCCTGAGAAAGCAGTGGTGGATGGCCCAAGGCATCAGACCCCTGCATTCAAATGGGAGACCCAGAGGAAGCTCCTGTTTTTCAGTTTCAGATTGACCCAATTCTGGCCATTGCAGCCATCTGGGGAGTGAAATGGCAGATGAAAGATCTTTCTCTCTGTTTCTCTCGCTCTCTCTCTCTGATTTTTCAAGTAAGATAAACACATCTTTTTTAAACAATTAAGAGAGTAGATGTTTAGTGGCGTGCATAAGTTCAAGACACCAGCGTCCCATATCAGTGCTAGATGGGGTTCCCAGCTCTCAGCTCCCCAATCCTGAGGGCTCTGGGGGAACTGAACTGGTGGACAGGAGTTCTGTCTCTCTCTGTTTCTCTCTCTCTCTGCCTTTCAAAACAAACAAACCAAGACAGGAAAGCACACTGGGGCATAGACCTTTAGAGAGTCTTCAGTGGCTTGTGTGTCCCAAGCCACGTGTGCGTCAGGTAGCCGTGGAGGAGATGCTGCTAGAGCTGACCCAGGGACTGAGCACAGTGGTGAGGCCGAGGCTGAAGGCAGCTGAGTCCCCACTGCCTGCCAGGGATCCCGCCCCCCGTGACCTGGTGTCATGCCCACCCTCAGACACAATAAGGACCTTCATGATGAAAATAATTATGATCCATTAGCTTTTCTGTAATTGCTAAGACCACAGCCTCCTGTGATTAAGCGTATTTCTTAAATATTTTTATGTCTTTGATGTTAAATGTTCTGCTCTCCAGCTTTTTCCTGGATGTTGTCAAAACCACAGTTTATGCAATTACTTTAGTAGATTCACTCTGAACAGGACGGTTGAAGCTTCAGGGATCTAGCAACAGGGGCAGGCTAGCGCAACCCAGCGGAGCTTGGGAGGACTCCTGGGGCAGGAGGGCTCATTGTTATTTCCCAATTCAAAACTGTGTTGCCAAGAGTCTTAGTGTGAGGGAAGCTTCCCAGATAAGCCCCAGTCTCCAGACCAGAAGAGGAGCCAATGGCAAGGTCTGGGACTGCTCCCTCGGGGAGAATTTTCAAGCCAGAGGCATTGAAGCAGATCCCTGAGGACTGCCGCAACTGAGGGTAGACACATCAGTTCCGGTGTGTGTGTGTGTGTGTGTGTGTGTGTGTGTGTGTGTGGAGAAGGGATGCAGTGTCTGCTTTTCAAGGGGCTCAAGCTCCACGGAAGACACCAGGATGCTGCAGCTGTTGTTGCAGGGACTCCCCAAGTCACCAGGGACAATTTCAAACTTAACACAGTCGAGAGAATGGATCCAGTGGCACCATCTGTGCAGCCTCCACATTCATCAACACATACTGATTTTCTTTCATCTACATCTCATCCCCTTCTACTATACCTTTACTATTTTAAAGCACATCTTCCGTCATGTTATTTTTAATTTGATACTATTTCTAAGACAAAGACTAAGAAAAAGCCATTAATGCCACTATCCCAATTAAAAAAAATATATGTATACAAATAGAAAAAAGGACTCCAATAAAACGACTAAATATTGGGTCATCCGTAAAGGTTTTTTTTTTTTTTGATGTTGTTGTTATGATTAGATATTTGCTCAAAGCTAGGCTAGTATTAAAAATATGTTGCCTTGGTGCCGGGTCCATGGAGTTGCAGTCCCTGTTTTTAGCTATGGTGCTGGCATCTCATACGGGCACCGGTTCGGATCCTGGCTGCTCCACTTCCAACCCCGCTCCCTGATAATGTGCTTGGGAAAGCAGTGGAAGACCCCTGCACCCATGTGAGAATCCCGGAAGAAGCTCCTGGCGCCCATCTTTGGGTAGGCCAAGCTGTGGCTATGGCAGCCATCTGGGCCAGTGGATGGAAGATCTCTGTCTTTTCTTCTTTGTTGTAACTCTGACTTTCAAATAAAAATAAATCGGGGGGTGGAGGGGTTCAGTGCCATGGCTCAACAGGATAATTCTTCACTTGCAAGCGCTGACATTCCATATGGGTGTTGCTTCCTGTCCTGGCTGCTCCACATCCAATCCAGTTTCCTGTATCCATGTGGGAGACTCGGAAGAGGCTCCTGACTCCTGATTTTAGATCAGCTCAGCCCCTGCTGTTGTTGCCATTTGGGGGGGTGAACCAGTGGATGGAATATCTTTGTCTCTGTCTCTTGTTCTCTCTGTAGATCTGACTTTCCAATAAAAATAAGTAAATATTAAATAAAAACACATATTTAAAAACTAAGTCAAAATATGCCACTTCCAAATATGCCGCATTGGCATACTGATGGTTTTGAGCTGAAAGAGCAGCTAAGAAAAGCAAATGCAAGAACTTTCCGCCCTCCCTGTTTTTACCTAAAAGAAGGACGGAGTCTCCTTTCTCCTGCCCTAATGGCATTTGGTGAGCGACTCTTTTCACCTGAGAAACACAGCAAGATGAGGATGAATCCGCAAACCTCACTCAAACAGCCTTTGTCTCCCGTTAGTTCTAGTTCCCGCTCGCTCTCAAAGTTTATCACGCTTTGTTAAAATAGTGTACAAAGCTCTGAGACTAACTACTTTTTTACTTTTAGGAAGACTTCAAAATAGTGGGAAGATTGGTATGTATTTCTTGTGCTGACCTGGCTTCCATCAGTAATTCACAGGCTCCACCTCATTTAAGAGGGTCGAGGGAAATTCTTCTTTCCCCATTTAATTTTCATGCATGTTTTTTTTGGGAAACTGGGGATGCTGAGAGTAACGCCAGCAACAAAGTTGAATAACATGAATGAAATAATTTCAGACATGTGTGTTTGCATCTGAAAAGAAGATTCAACGTGAATAGGAACGGTTCTAGATATCTAGGAACATCAAAACTGAAAGAATAAAAAGTTATTCAGTGCCTTTCCCCCCTTGTATCACCTACAATGATAATCAACATGTATTAGTCACATGTTTAGGGGCTGGTTACCTGTTACGGCTCCCCTTCTAGTCCAGCTCCCTGTTAATGTGCGTAGGAAAGCTACGGAAGATGACCCCAAATGTTGGATCCCTGACACCCATGTCATAGAAATCCAAG